CATGGAAGCCTCCACTGACAGATGAGTGATGTCTGTGCATGAGGGGCATTGGCTGGAAATTGGACCTGGGTCTCTCATATGGAAGGTGAGAATTCTACCACTGAACCCCTATACCTCTGAGGGAGGTTAAGTGGGCTAAGTGATTGTGAAGAGTTGTTTAAATGTCGTTAGCTGCTGTTGAGTCAGCTCCAGACTTATGGCGACCCCATGCACAATGGGACAAGATGTTGCTGGGTTGTCCACCATCCCAATGATTGATTTAAGGGCTAACCTTCCTTAAATACAATTATAATCAAGGGGAAAGTGATGGTCATTTAATTCAAGTCAACTCAACAAAGGTTTGTTAAACTTTCTAAGGTTTTCACTACCTACTCACTCATACACTAACCCTTCATTAGTCACATGTTGGGTGGCAGGTGCCATGTTAGGGTCATAGGTACGGAGCTGAAGTGGACGTGTCCAGAAGAAGGTTGCATCTACCATTTTGGAATGCAGGCAAAATACCTGTGCTAGTGATATTATTTGGGATACAATAGTAAATGGATTGTCATTAAAGCCATTGAATTGGATGATGCCAATTGGAGAAAATGTGTAGGAGATCCAAAAAAAAAAATCGCTGGGGACTTAGAGACATCCTGCTTTTAAATGTCCCCTGTGATGGAGGTGCTCAGAGAACCACTTTTCCATTCTGAAGGACTAAAGATTATTTTGGGCCCAGCTAACTTGGTGTACAGTGAGTCACATCTAAGCAGGGAAATGCAAACAGTGATCTACATTTGGTCTCTACCTAAAAGAACTACTTCTCAGAATTTTCAGATCATATGGTCCCGTGTAACTGTCCCTCCTTTCCCCACATCACTTCTTGAAGTCTTATGTAACTGGTCCCCCATTTGCTGTCAGTGTGTGCTGTCACTTGGTTCTGCTCTGTGGGGCCTTCTTCTCTCACGGTTTTGGATCAGGTACAGGTGGTGTCATGACGAAGACGGGGAAGGGCCTCTCCAGATGAATCGACTGTTAATTCAGCACATCTGTTCTGTAAACTACACGTCGGTTTTCTTCTAGATTTTTAACAAACATATAAAAATGTATCTGGAACACTTTGATTTTACTTCAAGGTATATTTTGTGAAGTATTCAATATTTTTATTGGACAATTACAATGTTGATCTTAAGTGTGATTTTATTGTGGCTTACAACCATTTTCCCCAAGATATTAACAGTTTATAATTAAAGAAGATGGGCAAATAGGATTAATAGTCTATCAAGGTAACTTTCCCCCACAACATACCCTTTGTCATGGATTGAATTGTGTCCCCCAAAAAATATCTGTAAACTTGGCCAGGCCATGATTCCCAGTATTGTGTGATTGTCCACCATTTTGTCATCTGATATGATTGTCCTGTGTGTTGTAAATCCTATCTCTATGATGTTAATGAGATGGGGTTAGCAGCATTCGTGTTAATGAGGCAGGACTCAATCTACAAGATTAAGTTGTGTCTTAAGCCAATCTATTTTGAGATATAAAAGAGAAAAGTAATCAGAGAGACATGGGGACCTCATAACATCAAGAAACAAGAGCCAGGGAGAATAGCGGGTCCTTTGGACTCAGGACCTTACACTGAGTAGCTCCTAGTCCAGGGGAAGATTGATGACAAGGACCTTCCCCCAGAGCTGACAGAGAGAGAGAAAAGCCTTCCCCTGCAGCTGGCACCCTGAATTTGAACTTCTAGCCTCCTAGACTGAGAGAGAATAAATTTTTCTTGGTTAAAGCCTTCCCCTTGTGGTATTTCTGCTATAGCAGCACTGGATAAGTAAGACACCCTTTCTTTGAAGAAAGACATTTTGGTGGTTTAAACCCTTATAAGGAGAACATTTGCAAAACTAGATTTTCCAGCAATTACCATAATATGTCCAAAGATTCAGCACTTTGGGCGGTAAACTCTTGTCTTAGTCATCTAGTGCTACTGTAACGGGAATACCACAAATGGATGGCTTTAACAAAGAGAAATTTATTCTCTCACAGTCCAGTAGGCTACAAGTCCAAATTCAGGGCATCAGCCCCAGGGAAAGGCTTTCTTTGTCAGCTCTGGAGGAAGGTCCATGTCATCAATCTTCCCTTGGTCTGGGAGCATTTCTGCTCAGGAACCTTGGGTCCAAACGACACTCCCTGCTCCTGGTACTTCTTTCTTGGTGGTATGAGGTCCCCAATTTTCTGCTTGCTTCCCTTTGCTTTTATCTCCTGTAAGATAAAAGATGGCGCAGGCCATACCCCAGGGAAACTCCCTTTATGTTGAATCAGGGATGTGACCTTAGTTAGGGTGTTACAATCCCACCCGAATCCTGTTTAACATAAATTACAATCACAAAATAGAGGACAACCACACAGTACTGGGAATCATGGCCCAGCCAAACTGATACACACATTTTTTGCAGGGACATAATTCAATCCATGACATTGCACCCTTTGGCCCCCCAAAAATCACATCCTTGAAACATGCAAAACATTCATCCCATCATATCATAGCAAAAGTCTTAATTCCAAGTCCAAAATCCAAAACTTCCTCTTCATCTGTGAAATCTAGAATACAAGTTATCTGCTTCCAAAAGCACAAAGACAGAACAGGCACAAGCTAGACATTTCCATTACAAATGGGAGAAACTGGAAGGAAAGAAGGGATAACAGGCACCAAGCAAGTCAGCAGAACACATTACATTAGCCCTCAAGGCTTTGAAAATAATAATTTCTGAGACAATTTACACAATGGCCTTACCCTCCAGACTCTGGGTATTGGCCACACTTTCCAGATTCTGAGTGGAGGGCCCTCAGCCCTGGGCTTCAGCTCCGCCTTCCACACCCACTGGGACAGGAACTCTGCTCCCTTGGCTTTAGGCGCAGCATTCTCCTAGTCCATCTGAGTGAGAACTCTACCCTTAGAAACACCAGAGGTAATGGCCATACCTTTTGAGACTGAGTCAAGTTGACTTCTTGTGTCCCTAGTCTCTTTACTTCTGCTTTCTGTGGCCTCTCAGCCCTCGGGCCTCACGCCTGCATCTGCCCTGCTGGGGCAAGTGTTCCAAAGCTCTGTAGCTCCACCGAGAAGTGCCGAGAGGCACCCCATTCTGCCAGGAAGCCTCCTGCACACAGGCAGTCAGCGCTCTTGCTCCGTGGGTCAGCTCCAGCGCCATCTCTCACTGGTCTCCTGGTTCTGCTGCTGCAGGTTCTCTGCCACTGCTGGTCCTCTGCCGCTGTCGCTCCTCTATCCATTCAGTTTCACAACCACTTCCACATTTTAGGTATCTGTTAGAGCAGCACCCAGCTCTCTAGGTACCAAATTCTGTCTTAGTTATCTAGTGCTGCTCTAACTGAAGTATCACAAAGGGATGGCTTTAACAAAGACAAATTTATTTTCTCACAGTCTAGTAGGCTAGAAGTCCAAATTTAGGGCGTCAGCTCCAGGGGAAGGCTTTCTCTCTCTGTCGGCTCTGGAGGAAGGTCCTCGTCATCATCAGTCTTCTCTGCTCCCGTTGCTTCTTTCTTGGTGGTGTGAGGTCCCCAGCTCCCTGCTTGCTTCCCTTCCTTTTATCTCTTGTAAGATAAAAGGTGGTGCAGGCCATACCCTAGAGAAACTCCTTTACATTGGATCGGGGTTGTGACCTTAGTAAGGGTGTTACAATCCCACCCTAATCCTCTTTAACATAAATTACAATCACAAAATAGAGGACAACCACACAATACTGGGAATCATGGCCCAGCCAAATTGATACACACATTTTTTGGGGGGGACATAATTCAGTCCATGACACTATATGTTATCTTTCTATCGGTCTGTCTGTCTGTCTATCTATCTATCTACTTTTTCTTAACTCTTACCAGACACATCTGAGAATACTGAAACATTATACCTAGCCCCTCCAGAACAACTCTTTTACTGTTCTTCAGTGGGAATGAGACATCATCCTTGGGGTGTATTCACTGTGGGATGTACGGCTTTCACATTTCAGCCACCGTTTTCCACCGCCCAAACAGTATATTCAGAAAATGGCTTATGTGTTTCTGCTTACAGCCACGCACTCTATAGTAATGGCATTTTTTTTGAAAATCTTCTGTGTATCCTGTGTAGCATTAAGAGGGTCAGATGTAACATTTTCTGCTAGTACCTCTTTAAGGCTCAGTTATTTCCGTCAGGGTATCCCATAGGTAGCCTGATTAGCTGCATCCACATGCCCTGCAGTGTTTCCCTGCACACTGGACAAGATAGTCTTGAGGTTGGATGGCATGTCATTGCTGGTCAGTTTCTCTGTGACTCCCTCCAACACTTCACCCTTTGCCCTTGGCCTTCTCATTGTAGGCATTGTCCTGGCTGACCCGCCTCACCCTGTGCCCTCTGCTGAGGCCAGTGCACATGCAGCCAGCAGCTCCTCCAGGCCCATGGTGCCCTGTTGGCTTGAAGCCCCGGCCTTCCACTCACCTCCTAGGGTGAAGAGGTCAAAGCTGCTGGCCAGGGAGCTCTAGGAGAGACGGTAGTCAGTACAGTGCTCCGAGTCCCAGCAGAGGAGAGGTGGGACCCTTGGGGGCACCGTGTACCTGGAGAGGGGTGACTTTTGCCTAGAGTCTGCTCCCTCACACAGTGCAGGGCCCTCAAGTAGGGATTCAAAGGATTTGGGCAAGATTTTCTTTTCTAATCATTTTTTAAATGCAATTAGTATATATATTAATGTATTGAGAAATAAATGTATATATATTTTTAAGCATGTCTTTTCCTAGTATTGTTAAATGCATGAATGCTAAGAGATCCTGTTGCTTGTCAGCATTAATAAAGGAGATTGCAATATTTGTTAATCCAAAAATATCATTGATCAAAACCAGTGTGGGATGATTTTTGTAATGTATGAGGTGAGGGGAAGTAGGGGAGTAGGCGGAGAAGCAGGAGCAGGTGGTATAGTTCCTGGAATGTTGCCCTACTCTTCTCGGTGTGTCTGACACGCCCCTTTGTCTTTCAGGAGGACTGGGGTTGGCCCACGTGCTCTTCTTCTATGTGAAGTACTTGGTGCTCTTTGGCATCCCAGCCCTGCTCATGCGCCTGGATGGACTCACACCACCACCCCTGCCGCGCTGTGTGAGCACCATGTTCAGCTTCAGGGGCATGTGGAGGTCAGTGGCTGGGCTTATTAAAGCCCTTCATGGGTGTCTGGTGGGAAGAGTCATGGACTGGCTGGCTTCAAAAAGCTTGGCTAAGGCTATCTCTTTGCCTCTCACTCAGGCCACATTTGGCACTTCCGTTTCTTTATCTTGCTGACAGGGTGACAATCCATGCCTGTGGGCCTCTCAAAAATATCATCAGGCTATGAAGATATGTGAGATAAACTTTCCTACAAAGTTGGTGTACGTTATAAATGTGTGGAAGGTTATGTTTGGAGTGGTTTCTCATGAACTTGGGACATGCTACTATGTGTTGATTATTTTATTGCTCTTTATTTTTCTTGGAAATGACATCTGCATATGTAGAGCTGCAGATTCAAAAAGAAAAAAAAAAAAAGACTTGGGATAATCATACAGGCCAGTGCTGCCATTTACTAGGCAATTTACCAAATCTCTCTGTTTTAGTTTTCTTATCTCATAAATGGGAATAATAATACCACCACCCATTTCAGAGAGTTGTTTTGAAGGTAAAATAAGCTTATAAAGCATCTGGCACATAGTAGATATTTACAGATGTTAGATTTTACCATTATATTATTCTCATACTTGCCGCACATTGCTTTTTCTGAGTTTTCTCACTGTTTTTGATTTTGTCTCATAAACTTACAGTTGGCCCAGAATCTTTGTCCCAAAAGATCCCTCAGCCCCCTGCCATTTCTGATAGTTGTTCTCTAGATGGGTTTGCTTGCTGTCATGTTTTCTATCACTTCTGGTATGTAACGCGTGATGGGGTTCTTTGAAGTTGCACACTAATGTTAAGTACCTCAGGGTGGACACTGCACAGCCCTGAGAGTCAGTGCCTCCTTAAATTTTGTGCTCTAGTTACTTCATTTACTTGACCCTAGTCCTGACCCTGCTCAGAATGGCTATACTGGGCCTACCTGTGGCTCATCCAGTCTTACATTTCGTCTCTGTGAGCAGAAGACCAAAACTTACTTAAGGGAACAGCTTGGTGAATATTGTCATGCTAAAGTTGCTGTTTGCCTAGGGAAGCACCAGTCAGGAAATCAAAAGACATATTCCACTGGGAAAATCTGTGTCAAAAGACCTTTTTAAAATTCTAGAAAGCAACTCTGTCTCTTTGATGACTAAGGTGAACCTGACCGAGGCCATGGTCTTTTCAATCATTTGATATACATGTAACAGCTGGGCAATGAAGAAAGAAGACAGAAGAAGAATTGATGCATTTGAATTGTGGCGTTCTTGAAGAGTATTGAATATATCGTGGACTGCCAGAAGAACAAACTAATCAGTCTTAAAGATAAAAAACCAGAATGCTCCTTAGAAGAGAAAATGGTGAAACTTCTTGCTAACTTTGGACATTATGTTTGGTAAAGTAGAAGGGCAGCGAAAATGAGGGAAATCCTCCCTGAGGTGGATTGACACAATAGCCACAACAGTGGGCTCAAATATATCAAAGATTGCGGAGGTGGCCCAAGGATCAAGCAACGTTTCGTTCTGTTATGTAAAGTCGCCATGAATCAGAGCTGACTTGAGACAACTGAAAACAGCAACAAAGGTTGCTGTTGTAGAGAAACAACTTTCACCAAAGCCTTCTGCAACAAAGGGATTTTTATTGTGACATATCAGAAAACAAAATGGGAAATTGGCTGCAAGCACTCAGGCTATAAACAGACCAGAATCTAAAGTACAGCCTATAAGTGCTTTTTATACAATTTTGACAAGTGCTGATTCATTATGAGTAAATTACTTACAGACTGATTGGTTAAGGTAAAGACAAAGAACTAAGATCATGCTGGGTGACCTTTTCTTGTTTTTCTTTTCTAATAATTTTGTCTCTTGGCTCAGGGGTCCTGGGTCTGTGATATGATGGTTGTGTTTTATTTGTTATGTGGGCTACATATGATATTGGATAGATCTTTAACTTGTTTCCTGGGATAAATTATTATTGAGTTTTTGGTATGCATGTCCACTGCCCATTGAACCTGTTGGAGCACTCTGCCCCACGCCTTTATGTAGTTTCCTATTGCTTTTAAGTTTTTCAGATTCTGACAAACAAGTTGGCCTTTTGCGGTTATGGCCAGCTGTGGTTAGGTTAACCCTTTATCATTATTAAAAAGGCGAGAATAATACTCAGTGTCCTGGTTTACCACACTAACTTATAGATGCTGAATTTAAGCCTTATTTAAACTTAGGCTAATCCAGTTTGCTTCTTGGAGTTAGAAATTCCATATGGTTATTAAACGGAGTATCCAGTAGTTGCTTTGATTTGTTCTTAATTGCTTCATCAAATATCATAGGTTGTCCTGTTTTAATGGCAAGGTTGGGGAATGCTAGTAAAGAGATTCTGTCTGCCTAGGAGGGCAAGGAGTGAGCCCGGTTGGAAGGCTGTTAACTTTGGACCTCCTCGTAAGAGTCATTTACTGAATAAGTGGGTCAGTACTCAGCATGATTTGGGGAGGTGTAACAAGTGTCTCACGTGAGCATAGCGTGGTTCCCTCTGCCTCCTCTGGGTGAGCGTTTGCGTTAACGAATTTTTTGGGAAGCACCTTCTCCTAAAGGGCTTCTCCAGTGTCATCTGGCATAATAAAAACCCGTGACTCTCAGACAGGCCTGCTGGCTCCAGCCTCCCGGTCTGTAATTACCAACCCATTGATTGTTACAAGAAGCAGTTTGGACAGCTGAATGTATTTCGTGCTTATAGTGGTTGTCTTCTTGTCCTTTTTTACTTTTCCAAGACCCTCAGTGTATATATACCACAGAGGTGGAGACAGCATGTCTGCCAAGACTGTTGTCTTCTTGATTAGAACTAGACGGTCTCCTCCCTCTCAGTTAAAGTTTAAGACAAATGTGGGCAAGAGATTAATCATGAAAATTTACTCAGCAGAAGCAGCTCTGGAGTGACCTGTTGGAGTGATGTGCTTCTCAAGGGAGGTACTTACAAAGGTATGTGACAGAATCACCAACATAGTCCTACCTGGGAGTGACTAAACTCCTAGCTTGGCTTCCTTCAGTATGTGTAGGTATAGGTTTTACCTTTCGCGTTTATATTTGTTGAAACTTCTTGAAGGGCTTCCCAGTTTGCCAGTTAAACTTAGAAACATTTGGGTCTTCCTTCTTTGTACACAGTAGCCATTCCACATTAAGTAGTTGAATTTAGGAAGGAAGGTTAACTCTCTCTGAGCTATACTGCACAATTTAAGGCTCATAAAGAGGAGTTTCTTAGTTAAAAAGGAACAAAAATGATAGGTTATCTTTTGTGCTGTTTGCAGATGCTCCTTTGTCCTTATGAGGAGGTTCACCATGTCATGTTCAGGATCTGGTGGCACAGCCCTGACTCTGCTCCTGGTCCTTGTTCTCTAAACTCTTCCCTGTAAGAATGTGTAGCGGCATCCCCATGTGTCTCAGTGTCTTACCAGTGGATGATTCACGTTAAGCCTGCAAACCTCAGGTTCCCAGGAGAAAGGCAAGCTAGATGCAGAGCATGCGTGTCAGCTGGGCAAGTCCACCAGGGCTGTTGTAACACAGTGTGGGTAGTGGAGATGTTGGCAGTGGGCCCACTGTGTCTGGGATCTAATAAAGTCAACTAGAAATTGGATTTAAATTTTTAAAGAATTAATCGTTCATTTTGGTTGGCCACCTCTAAGTAGTCATCAATTGATTCTCCTTCCCAGCATGATAAAAAAAAATGAGCTCAACACCAGGACTGTATTATAGCCAAAGTCAAGTTACATGTTTAGTTCACCTCTAATAATTGGTCAGAAAGTCGGCTTATCGACCATGAGAATGAGGTTTGCTTCACATTTGTGTAGTGTGTGTGATGGTCAGAAAAACTGACACCTGGTTTTGAGTTTCAGCTCTGTCATCTCTGTGGGCTGACCAGTAGAGACCTCTCTGAGCTCAGTAAGGTGACTCTGGGAAGTTTGGAGAGTGCAGAGTTTTGAATTTCTATTTACATCTAACTTTATGTTAATATTTTTGAGCCATCTGTTGAGACATGGCTGCAGACAGGGAATCATTTTCTGATCCTAGATTTAGGTCTGAGAAGAATTTAGTCATGAGTAGATGTGGATTAGTCACAAGTAGGTGAGGAGTCCCCGGGTAGTGCAAATGGTTAATGTGTTTGGCTGCTAACCGAAATGTTGGCAGCTCCATTCCAGAGTGCCTCTCGGAAGAAAGGCCTGGCAATCTACTCCCAAGAAAGCCTTTGAAAACCCTGTAGAGCACAGTTCTACTCTTTAATACACATGGGATCACCATGAGTCAGAGCTGACTTGAAGCAACTGGCTTAGATGTGGGAGCTGGTGATGCAAATTATTCTGTTGGGCCATGGCAGCCATTCGTCCAGTGACACAAAGGGACTAGATTTATAAACAATCTTTGGAAACTGTATAATGGTTACCCACTTGTAGAAAATTCACCCTGAATGCGGTTTAGAGCTGATAATGGGAGATGAACTTTTAGCCTCCCGTTTTAAAGGCGCTGTAGCTTAGACACTGTGTGGGCTGATTGCAGAATCTTTCAGTCCATTTAGCAGTGAGGGAGGACTTGAAGCCAGCAGCCTACTGTGTCAGAGGAGCCTGAACTCTAAGTTACAGATGAAATGGGCCATCAGCAGAGATAATATTCCTTGACATGATAGTTAAAATTGACAATGAAAAATTGCTATTTATCTGGAGGCCCAAACCAGAAAGCTTGGACCTGATGGGTTTGTTTATTTTCCCTCTTAGCTCTTCTCTTTCGTATAATGCCTGCTCAAATATCTGCGGCATAAAAAGACCCCAAGGAGTATGTGTATTCTCACTTGCATAGTTTTTCTGTGTCTTATGGACCTGAAAAACTGATAATTTTCTGCTTAATTTTTTGGTCTCGTGTTCTAATTTAGGTGACCTGAGATCTGTAATGAACATCTTTTGCCAGGAGTCATTAAAGATGACATTGCATACCTGAGATTCCAAATTAGAAATCTGATCATGTTCCCCGATTTCATT